CAAGAAACAGCTTTGCAGCAACAACCAAAAAAGGAAAGTCTCCTCCAAAATTCTTTCCCGCATTTACTCATTCTCTGAAATAGAAATAAGAAATGATGATGAAAATGATGAAAAAGGAGAAAACAAAGAAGAAGAAAGAAAACAAAGAAAATTCAAAATTATGGTAGTATAGGGTCTCCAATCCCTAGTTGAGTTTTACCAACATAGCGTCTCCACTCCCTAGTTGATGCCAGCATAACCTGATGCCAACATAGGGTCTCCACTCCCTAGTTGATGCCAGCATAAGCTGATGCGAGCATAACTTGATGCCAACATAGGGTCTCCACTCCCTAGTTGATGATTTTCCAACGTAGGGTCTCCACTCCCTAGTTGATGCCAGCATAACCTGATGCCAATATAGGGTCTCCACTCCCTAGTTGACGCCAGCATAATCTGATCCCACCATAGGGTCCCCACTCCCTAGTTAATGTCAATATAGGGTCTCCACTCCCTAGTTGATGCTAGCATAACCTGATGCCAACATAGGGTCTCCACTCCCTAGTTGATGCCAATATAGGATCTCCACTCCCTAGTTGATGCCAGCATAACCTGATGCCAACATATGGTTCCCACTCCCTAGTTGATGCCAATATAGGGTCTCCACTCCCTAGTTGATGCCGGCATAACCTGATGCCAACATAGGGTCCCCACTCCCTAGTTGATGCCAATATAGGGTGTCCACTCCCTAGTTGATGCCAGCATAACCTGATGCCAACATAGGGTCTCCACTCCCTAGTTGATGCCAATATCGGGTTTCTACTCCCTAGTTGATGCCAGCATAGCCTGATACCAACATAGGGTCCTCACTCCCTAGTTGATGCCAATATAGGGTCTCCACTCCCTAGTTGATGCCAGTATAACCTGATGCCAACATAGGGTCCCCCCTCCCTAGTTAATGCCAATATAGGGTCACCACTCCCTAGTTGATGCCAGCATAACCCGATGCCACCATAGGGTCCCCACTCCCTAGTTGATGCTAATATAGGGTCTCCACTCCCTAGTTGATGCCAGCATAACCTGATGCTAACATAGGGTCTCCACTCCCTAGTTGATGCTAATATAGGGTCTCCACTCCCTACTTGATGCCAGCATAACCTGATGCCAACGTAGGTCTCCACTCCCTAGTTGATGCCAACATAGGGTCTCCACTCCCTAGTTGATGCAAGCATATCTTGATACCAACATAGAGTCTCCACTCCCTAGTTGATGCAAGCATATCTTGATACCAACATAGAGTCTCCACTCCCTAGTTGATGATTTTCCAACATAGGGTCTCCAATCCCGAGTTGATTTTATTTTAGACATAGGTCCTTTACTCCCTAGTCTACATTTCCTCCGGGTACACCATTCCCGCACTTTTTATCGCTTTCAATAATGAAGTTGTATAGAATTCCGTTAAAATAACTCACGAAATTTTCCTAGAGAAAACTGGGGCAAAAAAATTTTGTTCGTTTGTTTTGATGCCTGTGCAGGTTATACCTCGAGGCACAGGATTCGAGACAACCAAAAGAAGAAGTCTTAGTCCAGAATAAAAAAAGGAAAAGAAAAGAGTTGAAACCCAAGTGCAGAGGCGGAGAAAAGATGTGGACCGCCCAAAACATGAATCAATCCACAAGCTCGTCACGTCTTAATCCGCAAAATCTAAAGAAGATTGAACCAGCACCTACATCTAACAAGCATCAAGATCCAGGTCAGAGGCTGCATGAAGAACCAGCCAAGACTCAAGATCATGTTTCAAAAGATTTATAGATAGGAATCTTGTAACTCGTAGCTGATAGGCTTAGTTAGTCTTTTTCATTTTGATTTTGGTGTAATAAGGAGCTCAGCAAGCAGTATCAGCAGCAACAGTAGTGAAATCACAGTTTCTCGGTAGTCCCAGCTACCAAAATTCCAGAACTACACTGACCTGATTCCTTTATAGCCAAGGATATGTAGGCAACCTCCGAAGCAAGGTTTGGTCAAACTTTTTTAAAATTTTTCCCACAGGCAAAAATTGCTCACTTTATCTTTGCTCGAAAACTCTTCATGTTCTCGAGCAAAGAGGGGCAGCTGTAAGCACCTAATTTTTGCCCTAATGCAAATCACTCTTAAAAGTATTCCAAAATAGTTTAGAGTTATTCATGCATATTCAGAGTCATTTTTAAACCATAAAAAACAAAAAAAAAATATTTAATGTTTTCATTTCATAGCATTTTAGACCTTAATTGCATTCAGGATTTAATTACATTAATTAGATGCATTATCAAACAGAAATCACAAAAAAAAAGTATAATATACATTAGCTTCAATCAATTCATTTATTTAATTAGTTAAAATGCTAATTAGGTCGTTTTGGCAAAATAAATTCAATTAGTAGTAATGTGGCTATTTTTGAAGGATCAAATTTGCCTCTTGTTTCAAATTGGCCCAATTTCAGGGCCCAAAATCCCAGGCCCAATTGGGTTACCCCCTCTTTAAAACCTTACCTTCCTAAAAACCCTAAAGATCAGACCTAATTTTAAATCTCTTCCCCCTTTTAGAAAACCCTGAGCAACGACGCACCCTTACACATAAAAAATCCGAGCCACCACCCATGTTCTTCATTCTTCTCACCTCACTTTCAGAGAAAGGCCACACTGACTCGGCAGGAATAGAGACGTCTTTTATCCAAAAAGGGGGGGGGGGGGGGGG